GCGTAAAGAATCGAACAGGACGTAATGGCTAAGGTAAACCGGAAGGACTGTTCAGCAAATTCCGAGCAGCGTCCAGACATGGCAACGAGAATCTCCAGAAACGTCCAAAGCGACCTCCAAAACGAACACGTCGACGCCGACGTCGCTTCTTCACGTTGCGTTCCAGCTTACCTGGTCCGTCTCAAAGCGCCGCTATTCGCGCTAAATCCATGTCGAATTCACGTCGAACGTCAAATCCGTATTGAATCCGCATGGAATCCCCGTCGAATGAAAATCGAATACACGTCGAATCCGCGACGAATGCACGTCGGCTGCAAGATGAAAGCAGAACTTACAGGACAGATCAGGTCCCCCGAAGAGAGGCTGCACCGCAACTCAATGACGGGACCTTCGGCAAGAAGGAAGCGGGTCCTGGTGGAAAGGAGTCCTGGACCCAAGGGGCCTTCCACAGGATTAGCCTCCCGTCATGGGTGTGTGCAGATCCCCTTCGTGGTGCAGAGGAGGGCCCAGAGCGCGCAGAAACCTCGACGCCTCGGACCTGTCCTGAGATCCCAGGTTCCGAAAAGTCTGCAACGTCGTGAAAAATCTCGTCCCGAGTCCTAGACCGCAGACTCCAGACCCCATCTTTCTGCGCGCCATTTTACGAGCCAGACCGACCTGCGATGGCCCTGGGGCGGAAAGAAAACAAACTCCGATCTCGGGATCAATCCGCGGCCCCAAAGGCCCCGACCGCTTCCCGGGGGGTAGTCTTCGCCGCGGGTCACTCTGTGATGGTCTCGGGGCCCGATCACGGGCCCTGGAGCCTGACATCGACGGAGAACAGTGGGCTTGGAGAAGAGCATGTCAGAGATCAGGGGACCTGGAGCGGGAGCCTCGCACCTCGAGAGCAGTCCTGCAGCCCCGCCAGCTCCGCCGCCAGCACCCGCTGGAACCGCTGCGCGAGGACGCCACCAGGGCGGTTGGGCGTGGACGGCGGCGACATGGCCGGAGGTGGACCAGCTGGGTGGGCCAGGCGCTTGTTGCGGGCAGCGGCCGCGGGAGGTGAGGTCAGGAGACCCCTGGGAAGTCTCCGCAAGAGCTGCTCCAAACGATTAGGGCCGATGAGGGGGCCATTCGACCGGACTAACTCGGATTAGGCCCAGGACTAAGCCAGATTCAGCCAGATCGGTTTTCAACCACGGGTTTACCAGCGCCGATGGTGAATCGAACCCCAGAGGATAAGCATCCTAAGATGGAGTTGGATGCGCGTGCTGGGGACCTCCTTGGACACACTCGCTGCACTCATGCGTCGATGCTGCGTCGAACGTCGGTCGAACTTGAGTCGCACTCGAGTCAAGCGGGAAACGAAGTGGAGTCGACCTAGAATCGACAGGATCCATTAATTAGGTGGGCTCCCAAACATCAAAAACAAACAAAAACTATGATTTAAATGGGAGGGCCGGGGGGCGGCGCCGATCTCCGAGCGCCACAAGCCCAGGTATTGAAGATTCAATGCGGAGGTAAAGTTCTGTTCGTTTTCGGTCTCCTGGGGCCCTCGCCAAGCCCTGTGACCATCAGAAGACGACTCAGGATGCAAAATTGGCACTGGGGAATGGGTTGGGACTTTGAAGACACACATTGACAAACTCTCAATACACTGGATCGCTGGGGTCGTGCTCGGCTGCGTCGCAGTCGGTTGCGTTCGGTCACGGTTGATTTCTGGGGAACCCGTATTGAAAAAAACAAGACATCGGATGTGCGGGATGTGTGTGTGTGTGTCACTTTGGGCGTGTCGCCCGATTGCAGACCCTGGGTCCATTACAGATCGATCCATGCCGCAGGCAGACGGGATGTAGGGCTCCGTCTGGCTTTGACTGTTCAAGACGTTGCGAGTTGCTTGCGACGACGGGGTTAGGGGTACGACGGAGGAGGAGGTGCACGACGCCAGGAATTTGGGGACGTCAGCTGACCATCTCATCGGTCCTGGCCGGGCCCGTCCCTGGGTCCAGGACTGGCGGCGACCCAAGAGAGTCGAGTGGACCTGGAACAGACGAACGAAGCACCACAACGGACAATTGTTCGGGCCTAACTAAGACCAAGTGGGGGCGGAGGGAAAGAGAAGAAGGAGGACCAGTGTAAACCCAAATCGCATCAACGATGTTGTACTAAACCCTCCCTCCGAGTTCCCGCTTTACGGGTCCCTACACGAATGCATGTTCATTGCGGGAATTCTCGGTCGTGCCAAAGCACCATTCCTGAATCTCACCAGAGCACCAGTCCTGGGCTGTCAACACCGCGAATCAACGTGACTGTTTCGTCATGACAACCCTCAGTCGCACCGAGACACCAGTCCTGGGACTTCAACCCTATGAGAACTACAGTTTGAAGAGCCGCATCTTGAAGAGGAACCGCCCTCAATCTTTGAAACTGTTGCGAAGTTTTGGCACAAACGCGCGCGGGTCAAAGGCAAGGGCAACATGTTGAAAAGGAACCTCCCTACATGTTTTGAAACTGCTGCCAATGTTTGGAACGAATGCGCGGCGCTCCGACGAGAGCCACACTTTGAAAAGAACCCACCCTCCATAATTGAAACTGCTGCAAAATTCAAAAACATCGAGGTGCTAAGGCATGTTGACACAGGGCTGAATCTAAACGGTGTTGTTTGTTTTCGTGTGTTGTCGTGTTCCCTCGCTTTCGTCTCGAATCCACCTTCACCGCAAAACGAAGTCGAAACGAACACGGCCCACGGAATCTCCAAAAACATCGTTTAGGTCCAGCCCTGTGTTAAAACCACCGCCCTCCATCCTTAAAACTGTTGTGATGTTACAGCTCCATGATCAGAACTGATGAGGATGTCTCAGGCGAAACGCGCGGCCCGCCTTACCGACACGTCTGAGGGTGCGACGGGGAGAAGTTATGCACAAGGAAGACGGGCAGGGGAGGAGGATGGAGGGAGGAGGGAGGAGGGCAGAGGGAGGAGGGAAGAGGAAGAAGGGAATTCAGGAGGCAGGAGGGAGCAGGGAGGGGGGAGGGGAAGGGGGAAGGGTGAGGGGGAGAGGGAGGAGGGAGAAGGGAGGAGGAGGGACGGAGAGTGCGAGGGGGAGGGAGGAGAAAGGAAGGAGGGGAGAGGAGGGGCGAGGAGGGAGAGGAGCAGGACAAGCCAAACGCGCTCGCGCCATGTCTGACATCCTACTCCGACCCATCCCTTCTCATGGCGCCGATGGTTCTCGATCCGCCGACGAATGTCATAGCGGAAATGGAATCCCCCAAATGAGCCCATCGTGTGAGCAGTCAAAGCGGGGAGCCATGTGCATTAGAGAAGGACGAGGCGAACGACCAGGAGGATGGGCGGGAGGAGGTAGAGGACTATAGGAAGGAGAAGGCGGGGGATGAGAACGAGGACCAGCAGCAGCAGGAGCCGGAATAGGAGGAGCGGGGCGGGACGGGGGCGACAACGACGAGGAAGCATTCGGATCGAGAAAATGGCCCGAGCTGGGGCGAGAGCGCCGTACTGAACGACAGGACAGGAACAAAGCGCCGATCGTGAAATGATGCCAGCGCTGCAGCAGGACGCTCCGATCGAACAAAACGCATGTGGCACGTCAATGTGTGAAACCCTATAGGCGAAAACAGCAACTGCGGGAGAAAAGGGGCCCCACTCGCGCAGAATCTGAGGAAAACATGGGGAGCGAGAGAGGGAGAGAGAGTTATGGCGACCACTCACAATTGCCAATTTAGACAGAAGTGCGTTGTATAGAAACTTGATACTGATAGATTTCATTGTAGCAATGAACCCTCACTTGGACAAATCCGCCGATCCAGCGTGTGAGTTTGAAAAAGTCTCAGCCACAGCCCACAGCCTAGAGCCTGAGCTTCAGCTCTGCTGGGGGGGGGGGCCGGGGAGGCTCTGCCGGGGAAGGGGGGAGGGGGGGGGACGAGTTGTGGTGCGCTTTCCGGGGGGGGCTTGTCCCGGCCCACGAGGGCCCCAAGACCACCCAAGACGGCCCCAGAGAAGCCCCCGAGACGCCCAAAGAGCGCTCCAAGACGCCGAAGATGACCTCCAGACGGCCTAAGAGGCCGCCGAGACGCTCCAAGAAACCTCGACGAGCCCTCAGAAGAGGACCCTTAGGCCAAAACAAAAATTGCACTATGGTTTTGGAAGGATTCTGACCTTCCCGCCTTTTCGGCTTCCCGACGCGCCAAGACGGCCCCAGAGGTCACCAAGATCGCCCCAAGAAGGCCCAAGAGGCTCCCAAAATGGACGCAAGACGGTCCAAGAGAGCCCCAAGACTGCCCAAGAAATCCCCAAGACGGCCCCAAAGGCTCTCAAGATGGCTGCAAGAGGGGAGTCAGACGGGGAACCCGAACAGAAATTTCGAGTCCTCGGCCTCCAGAAGCCCCCAAGAGGCCCCAAGAGGCCCCCAAGAGGCCCCAAGAGGGCCCCAAGAAGTCCCAAGAGGCCCCCAAGAGGCCCCTAGCAGGACCCAAGAGGCCCAGAAGAGGCCCCCAAGAGGCCCAAAAGAGGCCCCGAGGGTCCCCACAACGGCCCCCAGGGTGCCTCAAAAGTGTACCCATGAGGCCCCCGATAGACCTAATCAACAGCATCAAAAACGCCCCGCATCGGCGGCACTGGCTGGAGGCCACTACAAGAGCGGAGGAGGAGGTGGACACTGACAGACAGACAAACACCATAAGCTTTATCCGATGCCTCTAGGTAAAGCTGAAGTGCACTGTGCACTCCAGCTCTCAGCAAACTCATCACTGGGCTAATTGGGCTAAGCAACGAATTGAATGCCCATTGACTCTACAGCGGCGAGCCTGATCAAACCAGGATTGTGGCTAAGTCTGGGCCTCGAGGCGACAGGACGAGGGAGGAGGGGAGGAAGCGGAAGGGGGAGCATGGGGGAGGAGGGAATAGAATGCGGCAGGGCTGACAAGAGAAGGGAGCAAACGTCGCCTACTTGCGCAGCTTCCCCCTGCGACCCCCTGCAGAAGCCCCCCAGCCCACGGGGGAAGGGGGCCTCTTCTGCGACGACAGCCACTCCGCGTGGACGCTGGCGCCCGCCTGGCCGGCTGGGCGAGTGCAGGGGAGGGAAGGGGAAGAGGGGCAGGAGGCAAGATAGGTGCGATCGCGTCTCATCTGGCATCCTATTCCTCCCTCCTATCCTTCCCATTGCGCTGATGTTCTCTCTATCCGTGGACGTATGTCATAACTGACCTGCAATTCCAAAAAGAAAATTACATCCTGAACGACGGGAGCAAAGCGCCGATCCGGAAATGAGGTCCACGATGCAGCGGGAGCACCATTTTGAAGCTCCGAAGACAGTCGGGTTGCAAAAAAACATCAGAAAGCCAAACGTGTGAAATCCTGTGGAAAAGGAAGACGACGCACGCGGAGAGGGCCCGGTGACTTCGGAACGGAGTCTGGGAAGAGAGAAGAGTAGTAACCATACTATTCCATTAAAGACAGTAACGAGAGGGAGAAGGAGGCAAAGAGGAGGAGGGGGCGAGAAGGAGGAAAAACGAGGAAGGAGGGAGGATGGGGTGGAGAACGAGGACGACGACGGCGACGACGACGGCGATGGTGACGGCGACGGCGACAGTGACGACGACGACGACGACGACGACGACGACAACGACAGCGAGGACGACCACGACTACGACTACGACGACTACTACGTAGTACTACTAGTACTGCTCCTCCTCCTCCTCGTACTACTACTACTACTACTACTACTACTACTACTACTACTACTACTACTACTACTACTACTACTACTACTACTACTAAGACTACGACTACGACTACTACCTCCTACTACTACTACTACGATAATACTACTGCTACTACTACTACTACTACTACTACTACTACTACTACTACTAACTACTACTACTACTACTACTACTACTACTACTACTACTACGACTACGACTACTACTACTACTACTACTACTACTACTACTACTACGACTACTACTACTACTACTGACTACTACTACTACTACTACTACTACTACTACTACTACTACTACTACTACTGCTACTACTACGACTACGACGCTACTACTACTACTACTACTACTACTACTACTACTACTACTACTACTACTACTACTACTACTACTACTACTACTACTACTACTACTACTACTAACTACTACTACTACTACTACTACTACTACTACTACTGTACTACTACTACTACTACCACTACTACCACTACCACTACTACTACTACTACTACTACTACTACTACTACTACTACTACTACTACTACTACTACTACTACTACTACGACCACTACCACTACTACTACTACTACTACTACTACTACTACTACTACTGCGGCAACGGCGGCGGCGGCGGCGGCGACGGGGACGACAACGACGACGACGACGACGACGACGACGGCAGAAACAGGAAGGCCTCGTCCTCCTCCTCATCGTCCTCCTCCTCAATATCACCCACCACCCTTGACGGAATTACCATAAATCGTCATCGTCGGCGTCGTCGTCATCATCATCAAGGACCTCATCATTATCATCATCACCTTTCATCACCGTCATCATCATCAGCATCATCATCATCGTCGTCAAAATCAGAATCATCATTATCAATGTCATCATCACCATCATCATCAACACAATCAGCATCATCATAATCCTCAGCATCATCGTCATAAGCATTATCATCGTCATCATCATCAGCAGCATCATCACCATCAACATCGACATCAACATCATAATCAGCATCATCAACATCAACACCCATCATCACCACAACCATCATCATCACCAGAATCCCCGTCGTCTCTGCCAGCATCCACATCATCATCAGCAGCAGAATCGTCACCAGTATCGTCACCATCAGCAACACCATCATCATCATGCCCACCATAATGGAAATTCGCCGGCCCAACGGGCCAGGGCGTGCTAAGATCTCCGGTAACTGGTTAACAGTATTAACAGTATTTCTAGTTCGCGCGCGCGGGGCGGCCCCTGGGGGTCCCCCGGCGAAAAGTACCCCGACCAACGCCCGACCGCCGCCCGACCGCCGCCCGACCGCCGCCCGACCACCGCCCGACCAAGTCTACTCAGAGATGGTTTTCCTTCTGGGTGCGGCCTCTCAGGCTCCCCAGAGCGCGCTCAGAGTGCCCCAAGAGGCCCCCAAGACTGCCCAAGAGGCCCCCGAGACGCCCAAAGAGCGCTCGAAGACGCCGAAGATGACCCCAAGACGGCCCAAAAGGCCCCCAAGACAGCCCAAGAGGCCTCCAAGACGCCCCAAGAGCCTTCCAAGAGGCCTCCGAAGAGAGCCCCAAGAGGCCAAAATCGTTGATTTTCATTGGTTTTTTCGATGTTTTTTGTGTTCTGGCTTTTTCGGCTTCCGGACGCTCCAAGACGGCCCAAGAGGCCCCCAAGACCGCTCCAAGACGGCCCACGAAGCTCCCAAGACGGCCCCGGAACGGCCCAGGAGGGCCCCCAAGACGGCCCAAGTGCCGCCCAAGACGGACCAAGAGGCCCCAAGACGGGCCCAAGAGGGGCTCAAGAGGGGAACCGAGAACTGAAAAATCGAGCCCTCCGCCCCAGAAGGCGCCCAGGAGGCCCCAAAAAGGCCCCAAGAGGCCCCCAAGAGGCCCCAAGACGCCCCAAGAGGCGCCCAAGAGGCCCAAAAGAGGCCCCAAGAGGCCCCAAAACGGCCCCCAAAACTCGGCTAGCCCACAACGGTGCGACAATATGGGCCGGCGGAATGAGCGAAGCGATTAAATAATGATGATGATAACACACATCCCCGTCACAACCATAATCATAATCCCCATGATCATCACAATCATCAGCATCATCAGCATCAACATCGTCATCCTCATCATCACCACCAAAACCATCATAATAAATATCATCAGCGTCATCATCATCAGTAGCATCAGCGACATCATCATCGTCGTCATCACCATCTCATCGCCATTGGCATCGTCATCGTCATGGTCATCACAACCATCATCATCATCATTATCATCAGCAGCACCCATACCTTCCTGATGGCCATCGGCATTGTCATCGTCATATCCCTCGCAGCAACCATCGGCATCGCCATAAACATCACCATCACAAACATCGTTCTCGTCGTCATCACCTTTACAACCCTGGAATCATAACCAACATCATCATCGCTAACGACATCGTCATGGTCTTCGTCATCATCAGCATCCCCCTCCTCTTTTGCAACCTTGGGGGGGGGGCGTTTCTCCGCAACTGTCCTTCCTCAAGCTCATCCTCCTCCTGCCTCCATCCGCCCCTCCAGCCTCTCCTGCTCATCCACCTGCTCCACACATTCCCTCATGTCCCTCCTTCCTCATTCTCCCTCATTCACCCTCATTCACCCTCCGCCCCCTCATGCTGCTCGCTTCGCGAAGTTAGCAACGCGCGCTTTGACGTGTGCACCTGCAACTCGATGGCACTCGCAGCGGGATCGCTGTGAGTAATCAGCACCACCGGCAACACGGCCCAAGGTGCTTCTGGGCTGTCATCCCTCAGAACGGAACGGGGGGAGACCAATAAGTGGCGGACGGATGTGAAAGCTCAAGGCTAATATTGACCACGTGTGGCTAAACCCTAGACGGTCGCCACGGACAATCAGGCACAGTTCATGGGACAGGTTTCGAGGCCGAAACCTCCCCAGGATGTTTTCTCGAAACGCCTCACGAGAAGCAGAAGGGGATGGAACACTGCGTGCCTCCCACCCACCCCCTCTCACCACCCAGTCGAAGGTTGTTCAATATCGGCACCTGTCTTCTTACTCCTCCTGTTTCTCCCCCTCCTCTTCCTCCTCCTCCTCCTCATCCTCCTCTTCCTTTTCCTCCTGTTCCTCATCCTCTTCATATCCCTTCTCTTCCCACGTTGCGAAGAGAAAGCGCACGCGCTACTTCTTCTCTCCAAGCCGTTTCATCCAGAAAGTCCTAAGATGGGACTCCTCGTGCTCCTATTCCTCGCCCTCCTCCTCCTCATCATCCTCCTCTTCCTCCACCTCTCCCTCCTCCTCCGCCTCCTCCTCCTCCCCCACCTCTTCCTCCGCCTCCAACCCCTCGTCCTCCTACTCCTTCTCCTCGTCGTCCTCCTCCTCCTCCACCTCTTCCTCCTCCTCCTCCTCCTCCAGGCGGCGCGACGGTCACTCCGCCCGACGCCGCACACTGAACTCGGCCAGCACCGCGACGACCTGGAGACAGCCCGGCTGCGGTCCCACCGCCAGGCGCGACTCCAGGGCCCCGCGGTCCCACCGCCAGGCACCAGCACGCGCCCCGCGCCGGCCGCGCTGGCCGCCGCGCTGCGCACCAGCGCCCGCCCGCGCCGCCAGCGCCGCTTGCCGCCCCTCCAGTAGCGCCGGCCGCCGCGCCAGCCCCGGCCTCGCCGCCGCGCCGGCCCGTTGCTCGGCGCGCCGCCGCCGCCGCGCCGCGGGGGCCGCCCGGCCCGCCGCCGCCGCCGCCGCCGCCGTGCCCGCCCAGCGTCGCCGCGCGAGCTCCGGCCCCGCCGCCGCGCCTGCCCGCGGGGGCGCCCCCGCCGCCGCCTGCGCGCAGCCCGGCCAGCCCCGGGCGCCGCCGGCCGCGGCCCGCCCCGCCGCCTGCGCCCAGCCCAGCAGCGTCCCAGCCCCGGCGCCGCCAGCAAGCGAGCAGAGCCTCCAGCGGACGCCGCGCCGCGCCCTCGTCTCGCCAGGCGCACTCAGCGCCCGGCCCGGGGCCCTCGCCAGGCCCTGTGCTGCGTGGCAGCAAGGACGGCGTCCGCAGAGTGGCGCTGCAGGACGCTGCCCAGCGCCTGGTGCAGCCGGCGGATGGCCGCCGACCGCCCGTCGTCATCGGGCGGCGGGGCCAGCAGGCGCACGAGGGCCAGGGCGTCCTCCCCCAGCCTGCCGTGGTCCTCGACGGCGAAGGGGACCATCCTCAGCCCAGGGTAGCGCGCGCGCTTGTCGTTCTCGGCCGCCGCGGCCGCGGCGCCGGCGCGCCGGGCTGACCCGCGCTCCAGCGCGTCCTGGGACAGCGCGCTGACCACGGTGAGGTCCACCCGGATGGGGAC